CTTACATCCACCTAAAACAAGAGAAATAAAAAACAAAACAATTACTACACGAATTAAATCGACTTAAATGTTAATAGAAAATATCAAGTTCCTAAGTGCAGGTCACTGAAGCTTAACAAGTAAAACTTAATTACCTAAATGTGCAGCACAATCTTCACATTGAACAGAGATAATAGTTTCCTCTGTTTCATTGCAGGTGCAGACGTAAAATAAGAGTTTCAGAGTAATGACAACTGGATATGTATAGGTTATGTTTTGGTGTATTATAAGTAAACTGCTGTGTGCATTTACGGATAAAAATCTATATTATGGTCTTAAGTATATGAAAAACAATAATAATTACCTTGCAGCTTTCACTCCTCTGATCTCTGCGCTCGTAAAATCGGGATTTGATGCAAAATATGCTGTCATCATAAATGCATCTATTTTCGGTAGATTGTCCGATTGTGCTTTGACAAAACCAGCTTCAGTCATCGTCCTAGATTCGCTACAAATCTAAACTAAACTTTACTACAATCAGCACAAGATTACAGGTTTAAATTATTTTTTTTTTTCACAAAAACTTGTAAAATCGTATGAGTTTCGACTCTGATGAATGCAATGTCGTGTCAGATGACGTCACATTTCGTTCGACCAATGGTGGCGCGTTTTGGAAGTTTGAATTTCGCTCACTTATTTTGCGCTTTTTGATTATTATTTTAGGGGTTTAAATAATAAGTAAATAAAAAATAAACCTTTTCATTATAATATGACGATAATAAGTATTCGAGAAAAAAATATTTTAGGCCATTTAATTTTTTTTGCATTTTCCCTATTCTTTGACTAACCATTCATAAAGTAAACAAAAACAATACGTCGATACATTTACCGGGTTACGATTTGGTTATGATTTTGAACACTAAACAATGAATTTATGACGAAATAATAATATGATAGAATAAAACACGACCTAACGATCATTTTGTATGAAACACCAAACAGACATATTAAATAACAAAATACTTACGGCATATTAAAACAAACCACTTCACACAGTTAAAACAAGTATGGCGTGAACTGACGATTAATTCATTAAAATGATTTTTTTAACCAATCACAGGCCTCTCTACATTTTTTTTTATTATTAGTGTTTACGGCTCTGGATGACATTTTTTTTTGAGGTGTTAGTGCTGCCTAACCTATAATCTAAATTCGCCAAGAGTTTTTAATGTGGCCACTTAAAAAAAGACCTACGAAATTGGTAGAAATCGACGAGCGATCGCGCCGGTCCTGTACCACCGCGCAACAAACTACGGTATTTTGCTCGCAGTCCTACAGTACCGCGAAACAAGCGAGTGGCTAATGTAATTCCATATGTTATTAATTGGAGTATACCTATTAAAAATAACTGTTTTAAACGGTTTAATGTGAATATTATTTGTAATTATTACAAAACAGGCAGTACACTGATGATAAATACAATTAATGTTTTAATAATAGCTTAATAGCAATTTCATTAACAATATTTTGTACAAAATTTATATCGACTTCGGACAACACTGAGTGGAACAGCTGATTGTCATGACATTACATGTTTGTTTTGTTACTACTAATACTAATCTGTGGTTTTGTTTATCCCGGCATCTGTGATTGTAGCAATGACTGTTGAGAAAATCGATCAAATAGTATAGAAAGTCACTACTGATTTGCTGTGGTTAATGTGGCTAGTCAATGGTTTTGTCGCTTTATAAGAATGTCACCAAGAAAAATATTGCAATCGTTCAGAACTTCAGAAAGCAAATACTGAATAGTTTACTTTGTTAACGTGTAATACCCGCTCCTCTGACAACAACACGAGCTTAACAGAAAAACGGTGCCCTCTCAAGTTGTAAGACGTACTGCCATCTAGAATGCTACAAAAATAATGCAGAAGATTACGGACGCTGTTAAAAAAGTAAAAACTTTTTGTAATAGCTACCTCACCAACCTTTTATTATTTGCAGAATGTTTTGTCAAAGTTCATTTTATTTTATCCTTCAGTATTAGACATTTAGAATAATTCTAAGGAAGCAATGCATTTATCCAGAAATGATCCTCTGGTTTTCTGAAGTCTGAAGCTTAGAACGGCAAGTTTATTTTATTTCTTGTGTTAAGATTATAAACACTTATTTCTTTTTTTGTGAAGGAATCGTAATGTTTTCTTGCATACATAATATTTTCATAGATGTATTGAGAGGCAACAGTCAAAATATTTATTTCGTTAAATATTTCTCTGAGAGATTCTCTAGACCATAAATTATATATAGCGCGGTGAGCTCTCTTTTTACCCGACTGCGCGACGCAAAGGAGGGTAATGTGTTTATCAGTCTATGTATATATGTATGTATGTTTGTTTTTATGTGGCGTTCTAGACACCAAATACGTAGGCCGATTTTGATGATTCTTACGTCAATCGATTCGTCTTAACCTCGCGAGTGTCACTAAAGACATGACGGTAATCAAAATTCTCCACAGCGACAATTACGCCATATTGTCAAAATGAAAAAATAAAAATCGATGAACTATGGGTATGTTCCGATATACACTGCGACCACTGAACAGTATGACGTCAATTTAGTATACTGGAAGCCCGTTCCTTTATAGCTAGTTATACTGGTGACTTTTTAAAACGGAACGCAGTCCAGTATACTGTTAATCCTATTTTTTGGCGCCATTTTCAAATTTGTTAATGCAAGGTGAATATAAATATAAAGATTCCCTCTTTTCAAAAGAAAATATTATAAAATTGGAAAATTGTATAAAAAAATTATTTATCTATATATTATAATAAACGTAAGTATTTTTTTTTGTTTATTTAGAAACTTATCATTTTCTGATTAATTTACGCATACATATTTAACAAATACTTAGAAATACGCTAATTATGCATTGGCTATGTTTGATAAAAACATTTTTTTTGCACTAAATAACTATCTATTATTATAATTAGAAAAAAATTTATAGGTAATGGAATGCGCACTAATTGGAATAGTAGCTATTGGCGCAGTTCAAAATCTACTAGATTCTTCAGACGATGATTCTAGTGATGATGAAGATGTCATATATTGTTTTGGAAATCGGGCAGGACAAGGTATCATTCCAAGGACCCAAAACTATGTGGAGACTACTGTCCATCGAATGACTGATGAGACTTTTATAAGTCATTTTCGGTAAGACATGCATTGTAACTAAATCAGGTGAATTAGAATATTTTCATTTTCTTTATATCAAGAACCGAAATTACTTTTTAATTATCAATTCATGATGATTCCACTTATATTTGTAATTAAATTACAGAATGAGACGAGATACCTTCGAATTTCGTATAAATTTACTTGGAAAGAATTTGCAAAAACAATCAGTCCACTTTGGTAGACATCCCATATCTATTGAAAAACAACTTCTTTTAACAATTTGGACTATGGCAACGCCAGATTCTTACAGGTCCAATATTTATATTATTTTCATTATCTTTGAGAGACTATAAAAAAAATGTTAAAGCTGTTAAACTATGTTGTTTTAATTGTTGATACAGATCCGTGTGTGATCGATTTAATGTCGGAAAAGCAACAGCATGGAGAGCTGTTTGGAAAGTTGTTCAATCGATATATCATTATTTACCTGTGTACACCAAATGGCCTACTCGTGAAGAAGCAAGAATAACATCAAATCATGTGTATCGGAAGTATGGATTTCCTGGTGTTTTGGGAGCTGTCGATGGGACACATACGAATTGCTCAGCCAAAAGAACACCACGTCAGGTATATTAACCGAAAAGGATTTCATTCTATTCAAACTCAGGTTTGTAAAACAATTCTATTAAACTATTTGCCTGCATATTTATGGAATTTGTTAAAATGAACTTTAATTTGACAATTTCAGCTAGTATGTGATCACAAATTAAAATTTATTCATGCTTACTGTGTACAAGCAGGCTCAGTTCATGACGCTCGTGTATTCCGGCTGTCGAATTTACAAAATTATTGCACACCTGAATTTTTTGCTGATGACACTCATTTGTTAGGAGATAAAGCTTACAGCATCCAACCTTGTATAATGGTACCTTACCGAAATATTGGTAACATAAATCAAGAATCTTTGCGATACAATATGGTTCACTCGATTGCCAGGATGATGATAGAACGAGCAAATGCTTCGTTGAAAGGTAGATTTCGTAGTTTACTAGATAAACTCCCTTTCAAAAGAACTGAGTTAATACCATATTATGTTATTGCGTGTTGCATTTTGCACAACATTTGTATTATGAGAGATGATGTGATTGACATCCCGATTCTCGTAAATCATGAAATTCCAGCATTTGATATCGACATTGAAATTAATAACGCTATGAAAATTGCTGGGACGGAGAAAAGAGAACGGTTAAAGAATTTAATAAATAATATTTAAGTTTTAAGTGTAAGCTGGAAATACATACTACTCTATCATTAATTACATTTTGTACATAAATTTGTAAAAATTTTCAATTTTCATCATGAAATAAAGAATTATTATTTTTTATTTTTTTTTGGAACACTCTTTTTACCTAAAATTATTTTGTTTCAGAGTTCGTTGCTAATATTTGGAAAGTTTAAAACAAACAAATAACATTATTTAAAACTTTATTGCAGCAATATTTTTATTTATTTCAATTAATACTTCTTTACATTCCTTATAGTTTGTGTAAGCATAAATATTTCAAGATACAAAAATATCGATTTGCTTAATTTGTACTTACTTTTTTGGTACATCATACGAGCAATATCGACATATAACAAGCTTAACTGAAATATATTATTAGTAAAAACTTAAATAATATATTTTATCAAAAATTAAGTATCAGTACAGTCTTTGACGTTTTAAGACCAAATTTAAACTATGAATCTAAATAAAATAGTCTGACATTTCGGAAACTAATCAAAACTATGAATATAAATATAAAAATATGAATATAAATGTAACAATGAGGGTTATAAGTTAGCTAGTTAATTTTGATTTTTTTGTTTAAAACAGGCCACAAGATCATTAAGAGTACCAGTGAGTTCATTAGCAGCAGCTATTTTTTCTTGGTGGTGTCTCTTTCTTATATCTGCACTCTCTTTTTTGGCTTCTAATAATTCCGCACAAAAATCGGTCAATGATTTTTTACGCTTAGTTGGTGGATTTATCATATCAGGATCTAAAAGAAAAAGAAAGAAAAAAGTTTTATTTATGTTCATTCTCTGGAAAGTCAATAAAAATATGAATTAATTTAATTTAAGTTCTTATCAGTGGCAAACAGTTAAAAAATTGCATAAAGTTCTATAAATACTCATTTCATTGTCATCATTTGAACCTGCAGTTGAAAGAGGTTTAACCCACGGCTGCTCACCAAATAATTCTTCCATTTCCTGCAAATAAAAGTTGTATTAATTGCAAATAAAACATGAGAGTAATAAAATAATAAAAAAACTAATAAATCTCGTATCTTACATCATAATACACCCAGGAAATTTTTTGATTTCCTTATTTTTTTTTGCTGTCTTTAAGGCTTTTATAATGTCGTTTCAGAGTATCCATTTTAGTTTTACATTTTTTTAAATCAATTGGTGGTAAGTCGTACTGTGCTAGGGAAGCTGTCATGTTTTCAACAATTTTTGACCAGATTTAATTTTTGGAATTATTTTCATCTAATAATTCCAACTGATGGTCTTTGTACGTCGTTATTAAAAGTAAAACCTCATGTTGTGTCCAATTGTGAACATCTGTAATAATACCAAAACATTTAATATAAATGTATGATAAAGTTATAGATCTTATAATTAACATGGATAAAATATTATGATACATGTATAAGGTGGCAGACATCTGATAAATTGTTTCAACTTTCAATAAAAAGCTAAGAAAAGCTAAGAAGATATTTCAATAAAAAGCTAAGAAAATCCAATTTATAAAAACCATGAATATACCTTTACCTTTCGATTTTTGTATTACTAAATAGATTAATTTTTTTTATTAATATTAGACATAAGTACAATTTCCTGGCTTTCACCCCAACTTACCGGTTCTTCCTTCATCTGTAGCTTAGATGGCTTTTGACCAGTTTTCATTGATTTAAAAGATGGTCTAGCTGAGGACGTTGTATTGAAAGAAGGCCCTAGCAGTAGACGTGCCGGCATCTGAGCGTGATGAATCCTCTGCCTCAGTGTTTGACTTTTCATAGCTATGTAGAGGTCCATCAAAAACTGTTATTCCTGTAACAATTAGTTGCTTAGAATATTATGTGAAAAGTCTCAACAAAAGAACTTAATAAACATATGCGACTATTGAATTACTACTTATAAATAATATCATTTGTTGATTGCTAATACGTGCAATAATTATTTATACTGAAAGAATTATTGCCTGATAATATAAGAACAAATTTTAAGTTTGTTGATATTTTTACCTTCATTTATACGACGTGCCAAATTTCCGTAGCAAAAACAATATCTGTAAAAATACAAAAAAAAAAAAATGTTAACATGCTTAAGTAATTAAGGATATCAATCTATTTTCCAAACATAAATCGTGAGCATTATGCCCCTAGAATTACCTGTTTTTATACGATCATGAATCTCCTGTGTAACTTTCATCGTATACATAACATTAGTAACACATTCGATTAACGTTAACGGCACTAAGTTATCCATTTTCTTTGTTAATTAACAATTAAATAATTAACTAGTGACTTTTGTAATAAATTCCACTTATAAACTTGAACTCTTGAAATAAACTCTTGAATTAAAAGAAACTTTTCTTAATGCATTTGTTTATAAACTCCGAGTGAATAAACTATTGTTTGAACTATCGCGCATACTCACAACTGTTTCGACTGATCACGTGATCAAAAGTACTGCGAGCACCTTTCCTCGAAATCTCCAGTGCTCACAGTACAAATATGGCGGCAATTTATGACGTCATAAATTTCCCTAGGGTACTGTAGCAGCGTACTGGCAGTCCATAACGGAACGGATTTTTCAGCAGTAAGACCACTGCGCAGTGCTCGCAGTGTATATCGGAACATACCCTATGTTAAGTGGGGTGCCGTTGAATAGGTATTTTAAAATCATCTTTAGGTTCCTTTTATCATTTTTTCAAAGATTCTAGCTAATTTTCTTACTTATTGATTTAAGTTTTTATTTGAAGTATTAACGATATACAAACAAAAAAAAAACAGTGAAAAAGTATGAAGAACAAATATTTTTGGTAAAAAAATAAAGCAAATCGATACCGGAAATTTCAATTGTCGTAAAGGACAAAACACTAATTTTCAGTAGAGCCAAAAAACAAAAACAAAAAATGTTTTTGTCTAATAACTTTGTCAAATAAAGTGCTATATTTATGATGTCAAAAGAGACTCCAACTATTTTTTCTTGTTCTATCCTTATAATTTAACTAAATAAATCAAACTTAATTATTGATGAAAATGAGCGTCCTTTACAGCCCACAAAAAAATTACTGAAGTGCTTTACAGCCAGATAGAGTGAGATGTGTCGTAAAGGACTATTCTTGATCATCAGTGGGTACTACAAGTCAATTAATTATGAAACCAAGGGGGTAAAAGGAATAAAATAACTATTATACTACTACTACTATTTAAGAATAAGGTAGTAAAACTAAATGAATTAAAAGATTATTTATTGGTTTTTATTTATCAATCAAAGAAATTAATAAAATAAAGTGACAAAATGTTATCCTAATATGAACTCAAATTTTAAGAAAAGGGTGATGCTATTTTTTAATTTAAATCGCAAGTAATTGTTGCGATGCTGTAAAACTATTAAAACTTGTAGATAATAAACGTTTAAACAATCTAGTTTTATTTAATTATTATTAATCAACTCTATAAAATAAAAATGTTTTTCAAATTTAATTAAAATAACCAAAATAACAATAAATTATGCTTACCAAATCTCAAAACTCACACAATTGACATTCTAAAGTATTAATTAAATAGCAAGTAACATCAGTCTTTTAAAATTACTATTCAGTTTATTTTTATTAATAAATAAACCTTTTAAAATACACAACAAAGTTTAATTATTACTTTTTTAATCATTGTTTTTAAGACAATGTTTAATATTTATCCCATATTTAGTGAGATATAGTATCCATAACCTCGCTGGGAGCATTGAATGTAGTGGTTATAGTAATTAAATTAAAGGAAACATTTAAATTTTATTTTTATGAAATACCATTATATTCAATGCTCTACCGAGGTTATGGATTCTTATCTCACTGAAATATGGGATAATTTTTTTTAAATTAAAATAATTTAACTATTAATTGTGTCGATGTCGTCTTCCTCGTCTGTTTCAGGAAGAATGTCTTTAACCGTTGCTAAAGATGGTAGATCTAAATATTCTTTATGAAAACGCTTTGGTATAATTCCGTTAGTACATAAACGTTTTAAATCGTTATATTTGGTGATTGATATAGGATTAGGTTTGTCATAAAGTCTTGGTAAACTAATACTAGTAGGATCTTCTACTCCGACGGCACCTGTAAGATCTTGGTTTGGTCTTTTTGTTTTTTTGCCTTTTCCTTTTGACCTTCTTCCTTTATATTCATCATATAATGTTACTACATGAGCTTCTTCGTTTTTGCTCATTGAATATTTGACTTCCATGCTTTTAGCGTTTTTTTTCTTAAATGTGACAATGCGCATAGCTTTTAGCTGTATTTGCTTTTGGGACATAATGGTAAATTTTTCAGAAACCAAGCTGTCCCACTTAATAAAATCGGAGTACTCCAAAACATTAATTTTGTATGGTTCAGGACGTTTTCTTGCAGATTCTATGTATGTCGGCCATTGACTTGGACTCCAAACAATAATTCGTTTAACCTCACGTTCAATCACTGCATGCATTGAATCCACAGGCATATAAGTATGCCCAGGTAATAAATAATTTATTTGTACCACTTCTATGTTGTTGGAATTCTGTAAAAAGTAGTGTATAGCTGTGAGAACTATTTTGTTTTTGTTCTGCCTAGGACAGGAGTCGCAATAGAATAAAACATTTCTAATAGGACGCTCATCAATTTTTAGGAGGAATTTATAAATACAAGTAGCAATTTCGTTTCCACCCCTTTTTCCATCACTTTCTCCCCATATATAACAATGTCCTATTTTGGTTTGGCTTTCATAAAATGTACAGTTATAAACGGCGTATTTCCTAGAGTAATATAACAACATACTCTCTCCGTGAGGAGTGTTAAGCACTTTTTGCAGATCGAAGCTAACAGTGAGCGTATCGTTGGAAGTTAATTTCTGATGGATGTTAAATCTTTGATAGCAGGCTTTCTTTTTCTCGAGATGAACAGCCATTTCGTTAATTTCTCTTTCTGATAATAATTATGCATTTTCAGCCTTTGTACAGATTACACATTTGTCATTTTTGGGTGTATGGAATCGAATATTGTAATCATCATTGAATATTTTCTTAAAAACTTTTTCACTTAGGTTTAATTTAGAATTATTTTGGCAGTGTTTGAGATAAATCCTAAATAAATTTGTAATATTTTTGAATTCTTGAGGTAAATATAGACGTGAACTCTTTTGACGACAATAATGCGAAGGAACGGCTGGAAGGCTTTCTATAAAAGTTTTTGCGTATGCTTTATCTTCGTCACTATACTTATTTGCATGACATGTTCTCTTTTCTACGCTGGCCATATTTTCGTGTGCATTGTTTACTGTATATAAAATAAACTTTTGGGTGATGTCTAAAGTGTTAATCAAAAACTTTTGACAAACTGGTCTATATCCTTCACCTTCATTCAAAACATATTCAAATGATTGGCTTCTTCTGCTTTCAACACATTTGGTTTTTTTCCTTTTAATAGGAATCCTTTGTGCGCTTCTTACGATCCAGTTCTTTTTGACGTTGAACATCTAGATTCCAGAAATATTTAAATAGGCCCATTCTTCTTTCCTCTGACACTTCGTAACATTTTCTAGAACATACGCCAGGTAAACATGGGTTTATTTTCATCGTTTTCTCTTCTACTGTGCTTCCTGATCTTGTTTCATAAGACTTACCGGCGTTTCTTTGTTGTTTCCTAAGCTTAGTTTTGTTTTCTTTTTTGGTTTTGACCTTAATTAAGTTTTCTATGGTATTGGCTGTCTTTTCGTTCTTATCTGTTACTTTTGTTTCTTTTTAGTACACTTTTTCTTTTTATTCTCACTATTTATTGAACTCTCGGACTCATTCATACTTCAAAGATCAGAACTACCTGCTGAAAAGTCTTCATTGTCAGAAAGATAATCAACGTAGGATTTTAAAATCTTATTACGAAATTTCTTACTACGTATTGATTGTTTAGAATTCATATCGAGATCACTGGTGTCAGTTATTGAATCAAAAAACGATGTATCAAAAGTAATGATTGAAGGAGAACCCTTTTGTATACTTATAACGTCAGATGGAGTAGTTTGAGCGGTCTTTTCTATTTCAGGTGCAGGTGAAAAGACAACATCTGATGGCACGCCCTGGACAACGTCAGCAGTAAGTACCTCGTCAACAGGAGAAGTCTGAGCAATTTTCTCAATTTCAGGTGTGGGTGCAAAGACAACATCTGAAGGCACGCCCTGGACAACGTCAGCCGTAAGTACCTCGTCAACAGGAGAAGTCTGAGCAATTTTCTCTATTTCAGGTGCGGGTGTAAAGACAACATCTGAAGGCACGCCCTGGACAACGTCAGCGGTAAGTACCTCGGCAACAGGAGTATTTTGAGAGAATTTCTCTATTTCAGGTGCGAGTGCAAAGACAACATCTGAAGGCACGCCCTGAACAACGTCAGCGGTAAGTACCTCGGCAACAGGAGTATTTTGAGAGAATTTCTCTATTTTAGGTGCGGGTGCAAAGACAACATCTGAAGGCACGCCCTGGACAAAGTCAGCGGTAAGTACCTCGTCAATAGGAATAGTCTGAGAAATCTTCTCCTTTTCAGGTGCGGGTGCAAAGACAGCATCCGAAAGCATGTCTTGGACAACGTCAGCGGTAAGTATCTCGTCAACAGAAGCAGTCTGAGCGGTCTTCTTTATTTCTGGTGCAGATGCAAAGACAACATCCGAAGGCATGTCTTGGATATCGTCAACGATATGTACCTCGTCAACAGGTGTAGCCTGAGAGTTAAATTGTTGTGCTTTTCGGTTTTGACATGTAAGCGGTGATGATAATAATATTATACTATTATTAGTGGAAACCACAGAATTTTGATCAAACTTAACGGATCGTAAATATTTTTTTAGCTCTCTTTTGGAAACTTTTTCATTTCGTTTAATATTTACTTTGCTTTTTTGTCCAATATTAAAAAATGTGTTCAAGTTCTCACTATAATATTCTTCATCTGTGTCATCTATGACTTCACTACTATTAGCAGAATATTGAAGGAAGTCCCCACTAGGATGCTGCAAGTTCCTGAAAAAACATAAAAAAACTTAATAAGGCTGAGTAACATAAATTATTATACAGTCATATATCGTTTGCCAATTGATCTATTTATCTATAATATCTAGATATGTAAAAATATCCATAACAATTAAAACGAACTAGCTGCACTCTGCGGTTTCATCTGTGTAAGTTTTGATATAGTATAAATGTCTGAATAAATAGTAGCCTGTGTTAAACTAGTTGTGTGTAAATAACATTTACACGCATAATTATGTATAATTTTATACACACTTTCGCTTTTGAATTTGTGTGTTATAAAATATAGTTAATTTAACTTACGTGGCAACATTATTATCGATTTCATAGTATTTATCTGCAACCATTGTTTCTTCAAGAATTGGACGGTTATTTTCACTACTTGTACTGATTTGGCCAGCATCATAATAATGCTCAGCATCGACTCTAAAATAGTGACAAATCAATAGGTAAAATGTATAATAGACCGAGCAAAGCGAATGAGTCTATTATGACAAATATGCACTTGTATGTTTATTAGTCCGTCTATAGTGGGACTAATAAACATACAACTCGTGAACCGTTTATCCGATTTTCATTTGTAGTTTGTACCTACCTAGTTTGCTTCAAAAAATATTGGAAGTTCGAGGATGAACCAAATCGGCCAAAGGGTTCCGAAGCTATGGGGATCGCAATTGTCAAGGTACGCGATTCGCGCGCTAACCGCAAGTAGATACATAGTTTATAATTTGCACCAGACTTACGTTATAAAGCAAATAAAACCTTTACGACTATACGAGCAGTCCTATAACCCGCGTAGTTCTCGTTCTCGGGAGAAGGTGGCTTCATACGATAATTTAAATAAACTAACGCAACTAGGTGTCTACCTATTTGTGAAAAAAATCAGAGAATGAGCTCATAATTCCAGATACAGTTTTATTTTTTAAGTGAATGTGATAGCTATAGGCTTAGATGCTCTAAGGCTAAAGATCGTTCGTCGGCTCTATTTTAATTTTGAACACATAGTAGGTATTAAAATTCAAATCTAAACATCACAGAATTTTTCAAATGTTATTTTCAGTTAAAAAAAGTATACCTAATAGAAATAGATTACGGACGAAAACATCTTTTTTTATCGGTTCATTAAATTGCTAACATTAAAGTATGATTAATTAAATCCCTTACCGTAACATCTTGCTTTGAACCCGTGATATTGAATCTGCTTTTCTTTTTCTTGATTCTAACGAATTCATATTCACAAAACAAACACGTTATTTACCACTAACAATATCGCACAAAATGGCATTACAAAATGATTCGTATGAGTCGCAATCCTCTTCCACCCGTTACTTACACCCTCGTTGCCCTAGGCAACGTGCATCCGCGCTGCTTGTCGGCACGGGTCGTAACCTGTCACACATGCCTTTGCGCCATCGGCATTATGAGTGAGAGAAAAAACTTTTTCCTAAAATTAGGGTCGTAAAGGACGATAAGAACCAAACGACCTTTACACCCTAAATACAAAATATAAAACGCGCAGTCGGGTTTTTTGTTTTTCTTTAAATTATTTATTTTTTATAGTATAAAAATATCTTGAATGCTAGCCGCAGAACCCCACACCAATAGACCATACGTCATTCTCATTACACTATGAAAATAACTAAGGTACAGGCGTCAAGGAAGGCCCACTTAATTTAAAAAAAAAAATTAAATCTTGCAGATAAGTAAAATAATGAAAATACGTAATTAAAGTTGTAATATATTTATTTGAGAAACGGTAAATCAAAAAAAGTAGTACAGTTTTAGTAATTTGAAACATTTTTTAAAAACTTGTTAATGGGCTATCTTAGGAAGCTGGTCGCTTAAGATGGCCCGAAAAATATTAATGGAAATATAAATATTACAAGCACTTCAACATTTTAAAATAAAAATACAAAACCAAAAACACATCCTTCTCATAACATTATTCATAAAAAGGCATAAAATGTAATTTAAATGTGGGCTATCTTAAATCTATCAAACTAAAAACCAACTATACAATAAAAACAAATTACTAAATAAAGTCAAATTTGACGTAGAAATAAACTCTGAAAGTAACCAATCAAATATAAAAATAAATCAGTTCTTTTTTCTAAAAAAAAATAATAGTTTAATTTACGGGTGGGTTATCTTAGGAATACTGAAAATTAACTTTGAGATCAATCACATAAGAACTATCTTAGTTACGCTACTATCTTAAATGGAGTATCCTCCTAACAAAAAATAATCTGTAAAGTATCCCAATCAAAAGTGAATTAACTTAACAGCATAATCACAACTTTAATTGCACTCTGGACATATTAATTGCTCATCATCTTTGGTTAAACCCACACAATCATCATGATACCATTTTTGGCATGTTTGACATTGACTCATATTATCAAGTTTATCCTCGTTGCATGCATGACAATACCAACCATGTTTTTTAAGTGTTTTAGATTCCTTCTTCTTACTTGCTTTTACCACTTTCTTATTAATATCTTCATTCAGTCTTTCTCTGAGTACTTTTTTAGATTCGTTACCTTTTTTTTGGTTAGTTCTTTTTTTTACTTGCCTTATCTTTATCACTTGGTTGCTTTCCTTTCTGTGCCTGGTATTTTGTAAAATGCGAATTTTTAGTTGTATCAGCTTCACTTGGTCGTCTGCTTGGTTTAATTTTTTCGCTTGTTGTTTTAGTGTTCTTCACCGTTTTTTCTTTAGCAGTATTAAACAAATCTTTTGTTACTTTCCGGCCTATATAATTCACCGCTTTCCTTCTCGGTTTGTTTTTAATGATAGCGAAATTAGGAGTGGGATAAAGGTAAATTATCTTCCCCATCATCAAGTTGACCTTCACTGGGCTTAGAGAGTAATGGAAGTTTTCTGAAATTCTCATTTCTATTTTCTTCGTCTGATTCCGAAGATGAAGTGTAAATATTACAAAACTTCGTGTTTTTTTATATTTTTGGGGATAATCGGTATCATCATAAAAATCCTCATTTCCAGATAAATCTGACGTACTTGATTCCAGACGCGGTATTAAAAGCTGCTTATTTAAGCCAGAGGTGGTAGGGACAGGTGAACAAAACTCTTTACTTCTATTATAATTCTCCAAAACAGATTGATTCTCTTTGAATAGGATCTTGATTTTCCAAGTTGTCCATGTTAAAATCTTCAACGGAAGAGCTATAATTGACTATTTTTTTAACAATAGTTGGAAATTGCGGATAAAATTCAACGTTTTTGACGTAACTAGCTTGAAATGAAGATACACCATGATGAATTAAAATTGATGGTGATAAATTCCTGTCCTCTTCTTCATAATTTGAAAACTGATCATCCAATTGATTATCGAATCTTGGTTTTATTATAGGACTTCCGGAAATTGAATCTCTTGAAGATGTTGAATTAGAAGCTAAGTCAGGCATTTTTGAGGAGCTTGCAACTTGTGGACCGGGCATTTGTGTAAGCACTGTTTACGTTTTACGTTCTGGATGCTGATATGCATACAACAGAACCTCCTCTTCCCAAAAATGTTCGAACGACTTATTCACCGATTTGTCTACCGGTTGAAGCTCATGAGTTATATTTGACGGTAAAAAATAAAGTACAATATCATGGGCATCAGCAGCGTCAACGATTCTAGCATCTAAATGTGAGGAGGCCCCATCAAAAATAAGTAAACATTTTCCTGGAGATATATTTTGCCCTAAGTGGTTTATAAAATCAACAAAAATTCTGTAGTTATACTGTCCTTTGGAGCCATTTTGACTAAACTTCCAGGTGGAAAATTGCCACAAAATTCTGGTTTCAACCTTTTGCCTTTGAAGAGAATCATAGATGGCACAGTGTTGCCTGTTGTACTTACACACATAGCGATTGTGACATTTTCTGCATGTTCTTGACTGACAAAGTGCTCTCTTTTGGCCCCTTTTGCTGCAAAAACCTTCTGTTAGTGGTGAAGTGTTAGAGCCCCCGCAGACCACAGACTTTTTTATCAGCCGATAGTTTAGTCGGGTTGGCCTGCTAGTACGCACACCGAGCCAACTAAACAGTTCAGTCGGTGATGAGTGCGCAAGCTAGCCAACAGTCTGCCGACTATTCTTTAACTAGTTATTTGCTAGTTTCTAACCAACTGTTGAAAAGAGAGGTCGCATAATGAAAATTAATAAAACATTGTATAGAATCGTTATTATTGCTCTCATACAACGGAGGAGGAAAACAAAAAAAAGAGCCCGAGAATATTGGGTGCATCCTATCTTTAGTGATAGATTATTAAATGTAAAATTTTACACGATGCATTCCAAATTTTATTTATTTTATTTATTTATTTATTTAAAAGAAACACCAACAGTGCACATACTAAACTAAGTCTTAAATTGAACATAATTATAAAGATTCTGGTATGCACACCAATTATAGGTGTTTACAACGCTTACAAAATATTTATGACTAACGTCTGATTCTTATAGATTAAAATTAGTTAAATAAATTAAATTACAAAAACAGAGAAAACACAGAAACAAGGGAACTTTATAAACCCATTAAAAGAAAACAAAGAAATATAGGTCTAAGAGGTCTTAAGTGTTTCCGATACAGTCTTTACAAAATGTTTATGTGTATTATTAAAAATATCCAGATGTTCCGATTGTGCACACAGTCTATTGTAACTACGACATATTCTTAGCAGAGGTGAGTTGAAGCCTAAATTGGTTCTGGCGAGAGGTACGTTAAAAACGTTTTTGATTCTGTGACGAGGGTAATTGTGTGGTACGTTGAGGGATACTTGCTCCAAAATTTGAGGGCAGTCTATGGAGTTACGAACAACTTTAAATAGAAACGAGACATCGCGAATAGTTCTACGCTGTTGCAAGTTCTGCATCCCGAAATACTCCAAACGATCTTTGTAAGGTGTTCTGTGGGAAATTCCAGAGTACGTATATGCAAGCGACCTTGTGAACGCGCGCTGGATGCTCTCAATTCGCTGAGAGGGCTGAGCGTAAAAGGGATTCCAAGCTACGCTCGAGAACTCCAAACAGCTTCGCACGTATGAGTTGTAAAGCACAATTCTCGATAGGTACGACCGAAAACTTTTTGTATTACGTCTGATGAAACCCAGTTGTTTTGCTGCTTTATTCACAATGGAGTCAACGTGTGGTTTAAAAGTTAGTTGGCTATCAATCAGAACACCTAAATCGCGTATTTCATTGACTTCCTGTAAAGTAATCCCATTCAAAGAGTATGTTGAGTTTATGGGTGTTTTTTTACGTGTATATTTAATGTAGAAACATTTCTTGACATTAAGATGCATTTGATTTAGGTCACACCATTCATTTATTCTATTAACATCAGCTTGCAGTAATTTGGAATCATTTATGTTGTCAATTTGTCGGTAAATCTTTAAATCGTCGGCGAATAGCTTATACTTGCAATTTTGAATGTATTTAGTTAAATCATTAATAAAAACTGAAAATAAGATAGGTCCAAGATGCGACCCCTGAGGAACCCCCGACTCAGTATAATAAGTATCAGATTCAAACCCGTTTACAGTTACAACTTGTTTCCGTTTATATAGATACGAGCGGAACCATTCAAGGAGTGGCCCATGGATTCCCATGTATTCGAGTTTCACAAGCAGCAGCTTATGGTTTACCAAATCAAAAGCGCTGCTAAAATCAGTATAAACAGCGTCGACTTGTAATCCCTTGTCAACGACCCTGGCTAAGTCAGTTATAAGACTTACCAGATTAGTTTCGACAGCACGTCTTTTCGCAAAGCCATGCTGGTGTTGAGAGAGAAGGGGGTTAAGATGATTTGAAACAATGGGACAGACGAGTGCCTCAAAAAGTTTAGCAAAACACGATAAGATTGATATAGGCCGGTAGTTAATTATTTCGTTTAAATTGCCCTTTTTGTGTATTGGTATTATTTTTGCTGCTTTCCACTCATCTGGAAACACCCCCAATGACAAGGACTTATTAATGATAATTGATAATGGCAGAGCAAGAGCAGATCCACAGCGTTTAACTAGTATTGGAGGGATGCCGTCAGGCCCAGGTCCCTTGTATATGTCTAGCTTCTTTATTTGTTTTAGCACTTCCCTCTCAGTGAAAAATATGCTGCTTACACCAGTAGCAGTACCAACGTACCCATCAGATACGATATTAATAAGCCTTGTGTTAGATTGTGAAACTGGAGAAGGGGGTAAACTGACTATTTTTGAGAAATTTTCGGCAAACAGATTGGCTATCTCACAACCTGAACGCCCTATTTTATCCTCCATACGCAGTTCAGCGGGGAATTCTGATCGAGTCTTTCGCTTGTCCTTTACATAACGCCAAAACCCTCTAGGGTCATTCAATAGACTACTCTCCGTTTTGTACATATAATTCGAGTACAGAGAATCCAGCATTTTGTGGCTTCGTTCTCTAAGGATTTTGAATTCTAATAGGTCTCTAGGGTTGTTATATACACGATATCGTTTTTTAATTTTTTCTTTAGCGGCTAATAACTTCAACAATGGTGTATTGAACCAGGCGGGGTATGCTTTCCTGTTAAACTTGTGTTTAGGTACAAATTTTTCAATCAAGCTAGTAATTTTTGAATTCAAGACTGAAATCATTTCATTTAAAGAGAGGTCTGCGGCAAATGTATAATTCCATTCAATCTGCTTGAGTTCATTTGAAATGCTAATAAAATCGGCTTTAAAAAAGTTATGTTCTATTCGTGTATTGGGGCGTAGATAGTTTGCTTCGCTCTCTGTTAAAGTTATTATAATGGGTGGGTGTTTAGGGTCAACCTTACTTAATTGACATAATGGTTCCGATATGCTTACATCTGACACAGTGCTTATAACAAGATCAAGTATTCGATCATCCTCATTAGTTATGTGATTAAATTGTAACATATTGTTCACCGACAAAAAGTCGACCATGGCATTACCCAATAAATTGTTACAGTTGCTAACGTGCATGCGATTGTTACTTCTAGTCCACAAGAGAGAAGGCAAGTTGAAGTCACCCAAAAGCACAACCTCATCAACCAGTTGGGTAATATTATTGGCATTTTCTAAAAATATATTAAGGGTGTTAAGAGAGACTGGTGGTGGGATATATACTGTGCCGACTGCCACTCTTTTGATATTCTTACCTACTCGTAGTTCAACAACCACCCAAATATCCTCGCAGCTTGCGGATTCCCAGGCTTGCTGGCGAGTTGATCTACAAGTGCATGAAACTGCTATCAACACTCCACCTCCGTCTCTCTTTGAAGAGTTCAGGTAATTACGATCGCGTCTATGGATGACATAACGAGAATCAAATAGCTCTCCATCCAAGACACCTGAATTCAACCACGTTTCAGTGAAAGCTATAACATCGTATGAACAAAGTGACACATTATTAAGGATTCCAACAGTTTTAGTTCGCATACCACGAACATTTTGATAATAAAAATTAGCCATTGCAACTAATATAAACCTAAAAAATATTACACAAAAAGATGCTTAAAACTACTTCATAAAATTTAAACTGTCCATATTACGAATTTGGAGAGCTTGGCAGTGTTCATCCTTTCTGACGTAGATGCGCCCATCTCTGACCCAGACGAATCTGTATCCGAGCTCCTTCCCTTTCATTCTAGCAGCGGCGTGGAGAGACTTGTTATATGGGCTCAGATGTTCAGACACGAAGATAGGTTGAGCGGCGCCTCCTGAACTCAGATGCTTAGTACTCAATTTGTCACGGGGGTTAGTCTTGTTAAACTTCTGCACCGCTGCAAGAACGCTGTCACGTAGTAGGCGAGTACGCAGCTTTACAACGATAGTTCGTGGTCTGTCCGTATCTTTTTTTATTTTTGCAACTCTGGTGCCATGGACGATATCACCTTCAGAGAGAGTACAGTCTACTTTTTGTGCTATTGCAACTGTAGTTTTCAGAATGTTTTCGGATCGATTACTCGATTATCCGAAAAAAATTTTCGCCTTTCTTTTATCGAATGAGCATAAGTAGCTTCAACGAACTTGTCAAATTAATTGGACCAGGAATAGCGAAGGAGGATACAAATTTAAGACTATCTATACCTGTGGAGGAGAGATTGAGCGTTACGATAAGGTAAGATAAACCGCAAAACATACTTTTAATTTTTTTATTATAATTTAAATGACAAAATTACAGGTCGTATATTTGGGAATCATCTGAAACATTTGAATAATATGACTGGGCTGATAGGTTGGAATCAGCTGGTGATGAAACATTTTGAATGTTTGTTTGTGGTAAAGTGGGGGATGGTGCAGAACCGGATGTAGAGGTCTGTAATTGTTGTTGTGGTGGCAAGAAAGTGGGGGATGGTATAGAACCGGACGTATAAGCCTGTATTTGCTGTTGTGGTGGAAAAATGTTAGTCCCTCGTTGATAAACAGGAAAAGAGTTTAAGGGTTGCTGCAGTATGTTAAATGTAGGTTGAGAAGGAGGCTGAACACTCCTACCAAGTCTTATCTGTTTAAATATGTTAAGAAAACCAATCTTAGCATCGAGTTTTTCATCTGCAGTAAAATTTTTGAGGGATGGGACAAGAGACATTGCAGAGTTTACATCTTCATCAACATTAGTCTCATTTAATGCTTTTAATATTGCTTCATCCGAATCCGTATGCTTCGAAACACGAGTCTTCTTCTGGCGAATACGTGCGGAAGTGGATGGACCAGTTTCTTCATCATCTTCTTCATTTATTGAATTATCCTGTGCCAGGTTACCTTCCGTTTTTCGATTTTTCATGCATGGAAGTAAAAACAATAACTGTTCAAAGTAAACATATTTACGCCTCTTGATCGAAGCCTGCCCCGACTTTGTGTTCTTTTATGCGTTTAATTGTCGGCGAAAACAAGTCCGTAAATTGGCCTATTTTTTTTGTATGTCGCGACCTGAAAAATAATAAAATATAATTAATTCCTTACAGGTATCTAGCTTCTGGAGCTAGTTTCAATTCATTGTCTTTTGATTATCTGATGGGAGCTTCTACAATACGAGATATTACAAAAAGTACATGTGAGCAAATATGGAATTTGCTTCAACCGTTATATATGTCAACCAAACAAAAAGATGAGTGGTTTAAAATAGCGGACGAATTCTACAGTCGCACAAATTTTCTAAACATCATTGGAGCAATCGATGGCAAACATATACGGATGATACAGCCAGAACATTTCGGTTCATCATATTTTAACTACAAAAAGTTCTTCTCCTGCGTTTTGATGGCTTGAACAGATGCCGATTATAAAGGACAATGCCAAGCTTCCATAGAAACTTCGGCCAGAACCGACAGACAAGAGTGATATACTATAAGAAAGGGCAAAAAATATAGAAAATTATATGCACATTATATCTTTAATAAAAGCTCACCAAAAAAAGTTATATTCAAATAGTTTTTGTTTTTTCAACAATTTTCTACATAGTTTTTCATTAAAACAGCATATTTATATACATTTATGGATTTTAGGTAAAGGACGAAACCTATTAAGTCATAAAAAAGATCTGTAAATTAAAAAACATGTAAAAGATTAATATTTTTTATTATCAGTTGTATCAATTTTTTGTTGTAAAAAATTATCTAAAAATTGTGCTGGCTTCGATATTTGACTGACATCTAGCCCATCCTAAATACCAAATGATCGTCATTATGTGAGCACAGCAACATACAGTTCTACGCCCCACCAAAATTATTGTAGATACACTTGCAAGTATTTTCCCTGGAATTCGAGACTGATATAATGTTATCATCATTAGATAGCTCCAGCTCATGAATTGACAATTCTTGAGAATATGTATCTGGAACACTTGATGCAGAACTTGCAGATGATGAAGATAGTGCAGTATAATTTACAGATAAACTATTTACACCTTTGCCAACAAGGGTAACAAATTCTGTCTGACAAAAAAAAAATCATTAGAAATATTGTTACATAATCATTTCTTTCAATGTTTATAGCATTTATTCAAGATAAAATATAGTTTAGATTTTAATTTTTTAGTGGAAAATTAAGAATTCTCATACTATAACAACTAAATAACACATAAAATACATAAATATGGAACACATAGAATACAGAGGTCATCATTTGGGTTTGATTTTATATAAATATCTTCAAAGTACAGACACCATCCCATTAGTTTTAAAATACTATCTATAGTTAATTACATGCTCAGTTTGTTTAGATGTGTTGTATTCTATACAAAGCATATAATTGTCAAATAATTGACTTATTATTCAGACTCTGGTCATAGTTAAAAGCCGGGTCAATAATTAAGAAGTTTCAGATTCAAGTTCGAAGCCGGGTAAATAGATAGAATAAATCGAAAACAACAGAAAATACTGAACAACAAAGTGAACGAATTGTACTGCAAATGTCATGTTTATTATTGACTATGACAATTAAAAAAAGAGTTGCCATTATTGGACGTTAAATTGTTTTAAATCGATTAATATCGATCGAAATAATCAATTATATGTTATACTATGATTATTATATCTTTACTGATTACAGTAGTGTAAAAAAATAAGGAAAAATATTTTTGTGCAGTACCAAAGAGAAAAATATTATAACATGGCGTATTTATTGTATTTTTATTCACTTTCATAACTATTAATTAATTCATAACGATTATCGATTTTCGACAGATTAGTCATTTTAACTTTTTACTGGCAATTTTTTGTAAATGGCGTACTTTTCATGTAACAGTCGTTGATTAACTTTACGAAAATTACTCGTAACGGTGTGCTTTTTTTTAAATCTATTAATAGTTGATAATTAAAAGTATTATAAAATATAAATTGCAATGATAATGAATTTATTGTCGGCGACAAGCCGTATTTTGGCATTCTCCTTTGTGTACATTGATGTTGGTTCTTATGGAACAGCTAGTGATTCGGAAATATTTAAAACATCAGAAATCGGTAAACGGCTTTCTGAGAACCAACTAAATATTCCTTCCGGAAGGCAACTGCCTAACGATGATGGCGGAGATGTTATTCCATTATCTGTCGTAGGCGATGAAGCGTTTGGATTTGGAAATCATATATTACGCCCTTATGCAAAATGAGTTTAAACTACATCAAGCGAATTTTCAACTACTGACTGTTGAGTAATAGATAACACTTGTATATTTATTTATTATTATTTATTAAACCTTTGTATTACAAAACCTATAATTAGATGTACAATCATAACGACGCAATAACCACAGATCTCCTTCTTCCACAGACCACTTTTACCAAGGTTCATATTGCGTTCCGTTTCATGAAGATTATTATAAATAATAATATCGCAACATTCCCCTTCTTACATATAATCTTTAAATCCCTCAGGAGGTTTAACTGCTCGTTCAGAACGAGTATAATAATTTTCAGTTATATTGTTACAATTTTCATTAATATTATTATCACTTAAATCAGGTAAATCAATACAATTATCACTTTCAATGGGGTTGGCAACTGTCAAACTGGCGCCACCGTCGCTGGTCTCATAACAAAGGCAAAATTGTATGGATAGTGGAGTTAATTTACAAATTACAATAAAATGATGCGTTGTTGTGTTCCAAAATGTTCAGAGGACGCTGGCCATCGGTTTCCTGCAGATGAAAATGTGAAAAGAAAGTGGATCAAGGCAATAAAAGTGCGGTATCCAAATTTTGTACTTCGGAGTGGATTGAGGTTATGTCGTAACCATTTCACTGAAGAAGATTACGGAATGATCAGCGCGTATACCGGTAATTAAACAACATTGTAATTGTTTTTATGGTTAATAAATACTATATCGACCGGGGCAACAACAGTAATTGATACCTAATAGAACCTAACCACAACATCTGGCTTCACTAAGTCTAAACTAATTATTTTTCTCTTTCGTGTAAAAGTTAAACCTGCCTAAATACTTTAAACCTTCTACCTATATACTTCTATATTTGTATGACTGTTTTTGTTTCAGGGGTCGAACATCAGCACAAATATTTAAAAAGGTCTGCTGTGCCGTCAGTATTTCCAGGATCAAAAAACCTAAGTCTGAATTATCAGTGGCCAGAGAACAATGACTAAGAGTTTGAAGCTATAGAAAAAGTCTTTTCCAAGAAGAAAATGCTGAAAGAACTGTATTCAAAGAAGCCGATGATGAAAATGTGGCACTTAATATTGATGTCTCTGAGTCTGCACAATAAGTTTCAACTGAAAACAGTCAAACAAACAAAAGTTCCCAAGCAACACAAACACCTGTAAGGTTTGGAATTTTTTCAAGAGAATCACTAGTAAGTGATGAAGAATCAGTAAATTTTTATACTGGCTTAGAAACATATGCCAAGTTTCAGTTAGTTTTATCTACATTACTGTCAATGGCACACAATTTGCAATACAGATGGAGCAGGGTTCTAAGTATGAGTACCGAAGACCAGTTTCTGATGCTTCTCATCAAATTGAGAAGAAATAAGCCGGATTTTGAACTCGGTAAAATGTTTGGAATAAGTAAAACAGAAGCTTCTAATGTGATTATTACATGGATCAATTTTGTGAGTGATTTGTGGAGTCTAATTGATATTTGGCCTATCAGAGAGCTTGTAAACTTTTACATGCCAGAAAGTTTCAGGATTAATTATCCTACAACAAGGATTATTATTGATGCTACTGAGATACTTATACAGAAGCCTAGTCAACATGATGCCCAGAAAGCTTCTTTTAGCCAATACAAACACAAAAACACTTTAAAATTCCTGGTTGGATCTTCTCCAGGAGGGCTTTTAACTTACTGCTCGGGGGCATATGCCGGTTCAACAAGTGACAGACAAATAGTAGAGCGCAGCAATCTTTTAAATGACTGCAAGCAAGGCGACAGCATAATGGCAGACCGTGGCTTCAATGTTCAAGACTTGTTTGCGAGCAAAGGTGTAGGAATAAACATTCCAACATTTTTAAAAGGAAAGTCACAAATACCAGGGGTCCTTTTAAAGAGTTTTTTCTGCTTAAAGAGTGCATATAGAAAGACTCATTGGATTAACAAAAACTTACAAAATCATCACCTATGACCTTAATCAGTACTATATACCTTTAGGTTCTAAAATATTTTTCATATGCATGATGCTTTGCAATTTTAGGGAAGGTATTGTAAATAAAAATAAAAACAAGATTTAATAAAATACTTTTCATAGAAGTTATCTAGTTTGGCTAACATACTTTTCATGAAACCTTCGTCTCTATACACATACACAACTTTCATGTCCTTGTAGGTGTAAACAATCAAGTTGCAATACTTTCTGCCAGTGCAGTACAACTGTCCCTAGATCTGGTAGTAGTAGGGAGTGGTCTTTTTTAATGCCAGCATGCCGTCCACCTCAGTCAGATATGGTGCAGTGGTACTGCTAATTGCCTTGTCTCTACTAGAGTAGGGGCACTTAATCTCAATAATGGTCTCAGGACCTAACAATCCATCTGGAGATGCAGCGAGAAAAGGCCTTTCCTTACTAGTAAAAAGGCCACAAGGCAATATGTGAAGATCATATGTCTCGCAGTATTTCTTTAAGGCAATTTTTTATTAATCATACCATGAGATGTAGCTCTTGAATGAAATAGCCTCTTTTCCAGGATTTTTTTTGCATAGATTTTCATTCGAGAGCTACAACTTAAGTGGCAAATAGTGTGAAAGTTACTAGCCCTCATCCTTTTTTTTCTTTCTTTATACCAATGTTCACTTTCAGTTTGGTTAATTGTAATTTCTTGAATTTTCCTGTTCTGTTTCTGTGTAGTTGATCTGTTCCTCCGTGATGGTCGACAACATCAAATCTTTTAAAATTTGATCCTTTGGAGCCACCGCACTGTAGTGATGATCTACTTCCAAAGCATATGGATTTGCAGGGCCATACATTTGCTTCATTGGCATGGAGCTATTTGGGAAATTCAGGACCAAACTTCTGATTCGTGCATTGTAATTATTTTTATTGACTTGATAAACAGGGTATGGCTCATAAATAACATTTAAATGTTTTTTGCGAGGCAGTTTCTCTGCACGTACTGGTGTGCCTGTATACGGATTTCTTGGGGCGTGAAATTGTTGTAATTTTTGAGTGCAAGTCTCAAATAGTAAAACATTTTATCACGGACCATATGCTCCACACCCATCAGAAGAACACCTACATGTTTACATGTAGCACCATTACCACTTCCTGGCGGACATTCACAATGCGCTTCAGAAATGATGCCATGCTCATCCAGCTTAATGTTGACTTCATAGTGAAGATTTTTCATTGTCTTTCTGCATATGCCTCGTATGAATGTACTGCCACTAAACAGTTGAGATCTGGCCGTAACCAAATGTCTGGTCATACAGTTGCAACACTTCATCCATTTTTTTTGATGTGCTGAAAAGAAATTGTTGAAATTACATGATATATATTTTATGCAATAGGTTGAAATCATTGCAGTCTTTAAGTACTACAGATATGTTATTAAATTAGACATCATCATCATCACTCCAACCTGCTTCCACTGCTGGGGCGCAGCTCTCTCTCCACCTAAACCTGATGCTACAGGGTTGGTTCCAAGTACAGGTCGGAGGATAGCGTTTATAGAAGCAATGGTAGTACTTACAATGATAAATAATGTCGAATATGAGTCTTGTTTAGTGGAGGTAAAGATGTATTGCTGTTGTTATCACGGTATAACTCGTTTGGAGAGAGTACCATGCCAGGATCGTCATCTTCTAACAGCTCGACATTTTCAAAATTAAAATTTTTGTCATAGGACTCCAATCTAGAACAAAAAACACGATTTTATAAAATGTTATGTTGAAAGATTTTCATCATTTCACGATGACCCTAGCATCCTCACAGCAGATTTTATAAAAATTACTATAAATGCGACTTATTTACTTCGTAAAAAACACTGTTGTAGCGGCACAAGACTCACATTGGGACTGTTTTAAAGAACAAAACTTTTCTCACCTTTCTATGAGGTCCGCCTTTCTTCCACGCAAAGAACCACCACGTCTCTTTAATTCTTCCTTGAGTTTACCAACTGTCCATGCAGAATACATGATGCTAGTAAATCTTGAAGCGAAACTCTTCACAAAAACACTCTAATAAACCACAAAACAGCGTCCGAACACAACCAAAACAAACCACCAACTCACTGACAGTCGGACATTTTGAGACCAGTTACGGTGGCGCCATTTACTTTAGCTTCTACTTGCCATCCTCATTTTCTTAATATTATTATGTTTCACATTTGATAAGGCTTCATTACAACTGTCATCTGGCAAATGATTTATATGCTTTCTATTCCTACGATAACAATTTCCATAAGAATCTTCAATTATAAATGACCTAGGATTATCTAATTGGTATACAACTTTTCCTTGCATCCACATCTTATCATCAACCTTTTTCTCAAACATAATATTTTGTCCTCTTTTTAACGACTTTAAGGGATAAGCATCTTTGTTGTAATAATTTTTAATCCTCTTTTTTATCTTATTATCTAATGTTACTAGTTTTAACTTTTCTTTAACTAAACATTGTTGATTTAAACCTAAACTCCTAAGTGTGCTGAGCGACATGCAGTTAACCTGGGCACCTGTATCCAGTTTAACTTTAAGTTTATTGTTATTCCCTACATAAATATTTTGAAACCACTCACTTAGATTTTCATTTATTTGCACACTACCAATAAAGAAGGTTTCCTCTCCATCTTCCTGGTCCACAGCAGCTACATGTTTCTCGTATCTTCTTATTTTACTGCGACACATTTTCATATAATGATTAATTCCTTTGCATTTCATACATTTAGTTCCGATTGCGGGACAATTGTGTGATGGTGACCAGTTTTTGGCACCGCATCGAAAGCAATGTTTTTCTTGTTTATTATCTATAGTAGCATGGCAATTGTGCACTGGTGACCAATTTTTGACACCACATCGGAAGCAATATTTTTCTTGTTTATTTTCTTTAACAGCAAGAACAGCCTCAGTTTTGATATTTATTTTATCCCCACATATTTCCTGTACTTGTTTTTGGGATAGCTCTGCTGCTTTACAAATATTTACTGCTTCATCTAAATCTAAATTTGAAGTCCTAAGTAGTCGCTCTTTTAGGGTTATATTATTTATTCCAATTATAAGCATATCCCTAATTAGACTTTTCCTCAAGTCTCCAAATTCATATGCAAGACTTTTGTTGTGTAAATCCGTTAAGAATTCATGGAAGCCCTCTGTAGAACCTTGCACCCTTGTAAAAATTTGTGTCTTTGCATTGTTATATTTGTTTTTGGTATGAAATATGCGTCAAATAAGTTTTTAACGTTTGAGAAAGAGCACTCCTTCCTCCAGATTAAAAGAATTATAAATCTCAATTCCGAAGTCGCCCATAGAATGCAACATAAGTGCTATTTTTCTTTTATCTTTAGCATCTTGGAGATCATTTGCCAAAATAAAATAATCAAATTTCTGGTACCATTTTATCCAACTTTCGCCATATTGTGCAGTGGGTGGGACGCTGCCTCCAATGATACTATTTCCGTTGGTATAGGTTTTCTGTTCGGTGCACATCTTATTCATTATTATTTTAATTAAATACCTGACACCATGTTGTGTAATAGATAACACTTGTATATTTATTTATTATTATTTATTAAACCTTTGTATTACAAAACCTATAATTAGATGTACAATCATAACGACGCAATAACCACAGATCTCCTTCTTCCACAGACCACTTTTACCAAGGTTCATATTGCGTTCCGTTTCATGAAGATTATTATAAATAATAATATCGCAACACAGACATACAAGAGCTCGACGCATGGTTGAATGTACTTTCGGGATTCTAGCTAACAAATGGCGTATTTTTCACCGTCCAATAACGTAAATATTAATTTTTGTGTTAAAATTTATTAAAGCTTGTTGTGTCCTACATAATTATGTACGAATCAAAGATGGAATACATTTCAATGACACTCTTTACAGTTGTACCATGAATAACTTCACTACAAATGGAAATAACCGAGGAAGAAATAATATGAATAACGTGCGGCAATACATGTCTACATACTTTATATCTCCTGGAGGCGCAATTCCGTGTCAATATAATAAGGTGTAATGTAGGTAAATAAATAAAGATGTATCGTACCTTGATTTGTTTTATCTTGGGCACTAAGCTCATTCCAATCAGGAACAACAGCTTCACAAACTTCCTCCCACAGTTTTTCTTCACATTCACGTCAGAGTACTCTTTTAAGTTTTTTTTTTATAAAGTGCAGGGCGTTTTTCGACCTCCTCGATCAAATTTACGATCGACGATTCCGAAATCAGCGACTGAGAATTGGGCGACGCCATTTTGAAAAACACGGCCGACCATTCCGTGTCAAAGCTCGGAGCGAACTGAACTATCGGCTTAAGTCGGCCGACTAAAGGATCGTCGTATGTGCGCCCGTGGTAGGCAGCCAATACTGATTATACAGTCGGCCGATAGTTTGCCGACAGTTTAGTTTGAAGCGACTCGGGAAGTCCATCAAACTTGTTTATCGGCCGATACCAAATCGTCATTGTGTGCGCACTTACATACATCTGCGTACTGATTAAGAGTCCAACTAAACTATCGGGCGATAAAAAGTCTGTGGTCTGCGGGGGCTCTTAGAAGGCATCCCTTTTCGTCCATGTTATAAAGGCGTTCCGGGTGGTTGGAAATATTCAATTCATCGTCAATGTCTTTTAACTATAGGCTTATGTTTTTGAGCCCTGGCGGGATTTAACAACTGAGCTCTGCGAACCGGTATTTCAGGATAACAGTTTATAAAATTTCTGAGCCATTTTTTTCCAGCAATATTCTTTACTTCACTAAAAGAATTTGGTATATTATTCGCTTTACAAAATTCGTAAGCCTGCTTCCGAACGATTTTGGGAATTAATGGCATTCCTATTTGAGACAGTCTAATTATTCTTTTACATAAATCCTTTTCTTCGGCTTTATTAAGAATAGGGACACGACCAGTTAGTTATCTTCTCCGTGGAACCAGATTTCATGTGGTTTCTTAATGTGCGCCTGATTATATCGTATGTTTCAGCAGGTTTCTGCTGTGACCACAGAAATAAATCTAGTTAGAAGGAAAATGTTCGTCGATTTATATGGAGACCGAGCGTGCCACATTTTGTGTAGGTATCGTGACGTCACGATCTTGATTTAGTGATGGAAGACATAATTTCACTTGCATCGAGTACATGTTATATTTGAAACGGCCAATTCTTATCGATTGAAAAAACGATATCGATCGACGGAGACCAACGTGTAACATTTTGCTTCATAATTATGTATATGTCACGAATGTAATTTAGTGAATCAATGCAAAAAAGATTGTAATTTAGTGAATCAGTGCAGAAAACGGCATTTTTCTGTGGGCAAACACTTTGTAGTAACCGCTACCCTCTCCCGACACGCTACACATTTTTACGTCCTGTTATGTTATGTTTCACGGCGGGTTTTTCCGTAACTCGACACTCAGTATTTTGCGTGACACGAGGTTGCATTAGTCCTGCCAGCCCAGCTCCTCCAGGAAGCCCGTAAGTTCTCGAACTCTGCCGCATGCCTCCACTAGTGTCCTTGGGCTGCCTAGATATGTAGTCCTTTGTCTTAATAGGCTCCTGCATTCCAGTATCACATGAGCACTTGTCTCCTCAGTCTCCATGCACGCCTGCCCACAGAGGACTGTCAGATTAACCCATGTTATATAGGTGTTTGTTAAAGTTTGCATGTCCAGTAAGTACCTTCTACTGATATTTGCCTTAGAGTCCTGTTTCTTCAATCCATTTATTTTTAATATGAGGATCAAAGTCAAAGTCAAAATAATCTTTATTCAAATAGGCTTCTTAAAAGTACTTTTGAATCGTCCAACATTTTTTTTCCCTACTATCGTTCAGGACGTCTTTTGGCTGATAAGAAGAACGAGCAAGAAACTCACCAGCTCTAATAAGAGTAATGACATTTACAAAAACCATGTCATCACCAGATCAATACATTATAAACAGAGATAGAGAAAAAAAACTATGGTCTTATAATGATAACATAATCATTTAATAGTAATGGAAACAAGATAATGAGTTTAGAAGTAATCACCTATCCAGTTGCTGGATCATCTCAATTTGAATTGATCATCTCAAGTCCAAGCGTTCTTATCTGTTATATAATCGGATACCTTATAATAAGCTTTTTTAATAAGTATTTTTTAATAGTAGATTTAAACTGCATGATATCTAATTGTTGTATTTTGCTTGGGACCTTATTGTAGAAGCGCACACAAACACCCTTGAATGAGTTATTAACTTTTTGCAGTCTAGTGACAGGCACCGTAAATTTATTTTTATTTCTTGTATTAAAATTGTGTACATCACTTTTTATAGAAAACAAACTAATATTTTTACGAACGTACGTTAAGTTCTCGTATATGTGTTGAGAAGCAACAGTCATAATGTCGTATTTCCTTAAATTTCTCCCTTTAAGAGTCCCTAATCCTAAAATTATAAATTGATCGAATTACTCTTTTCTGAAGGATCATACGGAAAACTAAAACAAAAATTACAGTACAATTCAATATAAAAATAAATTATTTCTTCTGCTTTCAAAAACGATATTTTTTAATCGGGAAAAAAAATCGCATTGTACATCACTACTCTCCATTTTTGACAGAAAAAATGATAATTTGTCCTTCAACAAATTGACCTTGAAATATACATCGATGGTTTTACAAGCACAGCAAATTTGCACTGTCAAATTAAAGCCGCAATGGAAAGTTATTACTTGATACATGATCGTTTTGATAAAAATATTACGGAGCAACAAAACAAATGATTTTTAATTGAAAATAGATATATCTAGACAAATAGTTACTTACCAATGGAAGGAAATACCTCGACTATAAGATCCAACTATATTGGTGGTATTTGAGCAGTTAATTTGCAGAATTGCTAGCCTCCATTCTTATCTGCGATAAAAATAGTATATTAGAGTTAAATTAATTTAGTATCTAAAACGTATTTACAAAAATTAG